AACAAATTATTTTTATTTAAAGATAAATTATTGAATTTAAATGTTTAAAAGCTTATAACTTTGGTCCTGACCAAAAACCTCAAATCAATATAAACATGATAAATGTGGAGATGATTTACCTTATAAAGCAACAGGCTTCTTTTGACTGGCCTTTAGTCTAAGCAATCGTTTTCTTCCCCAACTATTGGTTGCCGTTACGTAACTTCCCATTGCTTGATATATTTTTGCACGAGAGTGATGACTATATTTCAAACAGAAAACTGCAAAAAATATCCGTATATTGGTGGTCTGTTATCTCCAGGTCACAGTCGTCTTCACATCACATATGCAGTGTACATGTTATAAAACATGTACATTATTTTACAACACCATTACACATTACGTGTTAGATATACAATGTATATGCCTTTCATGTCATAGGAGAATCCATATTTTAGATGTGAAGAAATGTATTCATATTAAAAAGCCTACCTCAGATCTTAACAAATAGAATTTATGTTTCTTTCAAACAGGCATATCATAATAATTCACACACCTACACTCCATATAAGCATTTCAAACATGTCAAAAAGAACACATATCATATTAGGGAATAGCTTTATGCCACCTTCATCACAAACATGTACATGTACTTGAAAACATGCATGTAGATCTTTATAAAATATACACATGATTTGCAGTTTAATCTAAACAATCATGCATGCATATATATTGTCATACGTACAAAGTCTAAACCTTAACTTTTAATTAAATTAGCATGATAATAAAAATGCTAAATGAAAATTTTCAGAGTTTGTAATTTTTTCTAAAAATTACTGTAAATTCAGAAATTATTGCAAGGTTTTTGTTAATGAGAATAATGCGACTGGACGTCTGCAATAATAAGAGCTCACATTCTGAATTCGATATATATATCTGTATGCAGATTTGCCTGAAATCGCAATAATTATAAATCTTACATTTTTGTCCATTCTTCAAAAATTGCAACAATAAAAATATACACAGTAATTTCTGAATGAACAGTATACAATTATACCATGTATACAAATCAGTTATAAACATGATATAAATGTAGAATAACAACATGAGTGCTTGGAAGATCATATAAATAATTGTGTGTTTAATCTGATTGGTAGATTTACAATACTTTAAAAATAATTAATGACATACATGTATGTATGTTACTTTCATGTTTTAGAAGTTTGTGAAATTCAAAGATGACACAGACGCAGAAACACACAATTTTTTATTTGACCTTACATATGCATGTGTTGGCTGTGGCTTGTTGCTTCAAAATCCCCAGATATACAGGACAGCTACTAAACTATTAAGGGTGTGATTACAATTTAACCTGTACAAGCAGTCCAAAGGACAAATTATAGAAGAGAATGTGTTATATAAAATTAAAAAAAAAAATCACCTACCTATTCAATTTACTCTTCAATTTTCAATCTTTTGTTCCCATCTTCATTTGAAAAAGTCACGCCCTTAAAACAGCGGAGGGTTTTCACATATCTTGTTTCTTCTTTTTATTTTATATTGAAGTATTGTTTCATATGCTATTGATTTATTGCAAACTTATAAATGAAACATCTATGACTGCAAGTGCTCTTCATACAACGTTAACACAATGCATAGAAAACTAGCATTAACCTTGATTTCACTTGTAATTGCATGGATATTATAGCATTAACATGTATTTTTATAGGGTTTAAAAGCGTTGATCATTTGCAAATTTGTGGTATGAAGCACCTTCCCTCTCTTCCATATGTCTTCATACAAAATGTGTTTTTGTCAATGTTTTGACTAGGCCAACAAAACAAGTGAAACTGCGAGCTACTGCTCACTGATGATACCCCCGCCCAAATATTTGGGTAAACAGGAAGTTGTTGAGTGATGAATCTGAAAACGCATCACACGCTATAGCTGACTTATATATAAACCCTGAAACCAATTTCAGAAATCCTTATGATGCAGTTCCTGAGAAAGCTGCAACGAAAAATATTTATGGGACGGATGGACGGACTGACGGATGGACTGGCGGATGGATGGACGGACAGACAGAGGTAAAACAGTATACCCCCACTTTTTTAAAGCGGGGGTATAATTACAAAAAGAAGCATTCTATTCGGTAATAAATTAAAAGGTAAACAGGTAAAATGTTAAACAGTTTAAACCTAAACACCCTTAGACTGACTGGGGTCAAAATAGGTTCAAATGAGTCCAGTGGTGTCAGAGAAGAAAATATAATTGATGACTGCCAAGTGATGTCTTAAGGTTATGTTAAATAATAAACAATCAGAGCTCTGACATAAACATGTCAGTATCTACAAAGACTCATGCAAGTCAGATTATGCATTTTTTACAAAGGAGTGATGGCATTTTAAGACTTGATAAAGTCAGAATGTGCCAGACTTATTTAGGTCAGACACTGTTCAGTGGATTGTGAAATTATCAGTATTTTAAGATTTATAGCAAACCTACTCAATAAATAACAATGAACATGTGTATGATGCTTACAATATCAAAATCTATCTTTACATGCTGGTTTTCAAGTAACTCTACTAATGGTACATAACATTTTCCCCCAATTTATCACAAATACATACTTAAATAAAATGGTTAATTACACATGATTTAGTTTTTTAAGGGTCTAATTCATATTTTTTGTTGATAAAAAGTGTTTTTAAAATGGTTATGTAGATGCTTAACTTTTAAAATGGGTTCATGGCCCAAAAAGATAGACATTTTAGGTTATATTTTGACTTGTAAAATTTTAAATATCTTTGTTGAGACGGAAAAAAATGGCATGATATCTCATCTGAATTGTAGAAATTGGTTTTTGTTTAAAAAATAATGGGAGGTAACTAATGACACCAAACATTCTGACTACTATTAGTCAGAAAATTCAGGCTTCAGTTTATGTCAGAGCTCTGACTGATTAAAAATAGTTTCAATCATTTGAACTCAATCCAGCTGCTAATTTAAGAATATGTTGTGCTTCTCCAAAAAAAACAAATACTTTGACCATCAATCCAAAATTTGAAAATGAAGTTCTTAAACCAGGTATGCAGTTTTCCCTGAAGGGCCCCTTTAATTTAAATTTATTATGGTCATATAGCTCAATAGTACTTGTCATTTCAAGTCTTGTCACAAAATACAACCCTAAATTTGTATTAAGTTTTATTTTCAGTGGTGGCCATCTTGGTTGGCAGACAGGGTCATGAGGCAAGTCAAAGTGAAGATAATTAAATGATTTTTTGCAATATTTTTCTATTTTTAGTAAAGGTTTCCAATCATCACCAAAATTACAAATTTGGTAGAGGACCATCTAAGTAACATTCCTATCAGTAGACATTCATATTGTCTTGTGGTTATGACAAGAAGATTTTTGAAATTTCAACCAATCAGAACACACTATCGGCACAACAGCCATGTAAAATTAGATCAGAACCAAAACAATAAATTCTGAACCAGATCTTCCCAGGAACATTGCTAGCAAGTTTGGTGCTATGTGTTATGTGGTTTCAGAGAAAATAAAATGCTCTGCTGGGCGCAGCTTGATATGACCGCAGAGGTCGAACCCTGAACAGTTGGGCAAGTATGGACACAACATTCAAGCTTGATGCAGCACTAAATTTGGATTGTAATTAAATATTTGAGACAGCATAGGTTTCTGTCACAGAATGAATGTGGTCTAAGAACTTAAAAAATTTTAATTTACCTATTCAAACCATATCATTATTATTTGCTTTTATATATATATCAGAAATAACCAATTTAAAAAGGAAAATTTTAAAGAAAAAAAAGGAAAAAAAAAAAATCCCCCCCCCCCAAATTTTTTGAACCCCCTTATGATTCATCACCCCCAAACTCAATCCCAGCCTTCCCTTGGTGGTATGGTACCTTGCAGTACAATTTCAGAGAGATCGATACACTTGAACACAAGTCATTGTCTGAAAAATGCTTGTTTTTTGGCCCCTTTTTGGCCCCTAATTCCTTAACGTTTAGGGCAATTACCCCCAAACTCAAACCCAGCTTTCCCTTTGTGATATGGAACCTTGTAGTACAATTTCATAAAGATCCATACACTTATACACAAGTTATTGTCCGGAAACTAGAAAAATGTTTGTTTTTTTGCCCCTAATTCCTAAAATTGTGAGGCAATTACCCCCAAAATCAATCCCAGCCTTCCCTTTCTGGTATGGTACCTTGCACTTCAATTTCAGAGAGATCCATACACTTGAACACAAGTTATAGTCTGGAAACTAGAAAAATGCTTATTTTTGGCCCCTTTTTGGCCCCTTATTCCTAAACGTTTTGGGCAATTACCCCCAAACTCAATTCCAGCTTTCCCTTTGAGATATGGAACCTTTTAGTACAATTTCATAAAGATTCATACACTTACACACAAGTTATTGTCATGAAACTAGAAAAATGCTTGTTTTTTGCCCCTTTTTTGGCCCCTAATTCCTAAAATTATGAGGCAATAACCCCCAAAATCAATCCCAGCATTCCCTTTGTGAAATGGAACCTTGTGGTACAATGTCAGAGAGATCCATACACTAACACACAAGTTATGTCTGGAAGTTACAAAAATGCTTATTTTTGGCCCCTTTTTGGCCCCTAATTCCTTAACTGTTGGTACCATAACCCCCAAAATCAATCCCAACCTTTCTTTTGTGGTATTGAACCTTATGGTAAAATTTCATAGAGATCCATTCACGTAAACTAAAGTTAGAGTGCGAAAACCAATGTGTCTTCGGACGATGACGACGATGACGCCAATTTTATACCAATATACGACCACCAAAATTTTTTTGCGGTCGTATGAAAATTAAAATGTAAAAAGTTAACAGACAGACAGACGACAGACACAAAGTGATGGCAAAAGCTAACCCTGGCTTATAGCCATGGTGAAAAGAGAGTTCCTTTCATGAAGTCAGGTCCCATGTATTTTCCAACAAACCAAGCCAACAATAAAGAAAATGGATAATTACCTAGAATGGCCTCTATTATTTGTTGGTTTAAAATTTTCTTCCCTCGTCCAGCTTTAGACAATGTAGCACCAACCAATTCTTTCCTTGACCAGAATACATTTAGAAGATATCGAGCCATTTTTTCTCCACTGTATGTTCCAGTTTGACTCTCTGCTCCTACTTTAAATGCTTGCTGAATGTTTTTATCAAATACATAAACACCACTGCCATTGACCAATTCAACCATCTGAAAATACATTTACATAAACATATTCTATAAAAATATATTTATTTTACTGTGGATTCATTATTATTCGTTGGATACCAATTTTCATGGATTTCGTGGGTACAGGTGAACCACGAAATTAAATGTTCAACGAATAACAAATGTTTTATAGGCTTGTATGCAGACTTCAGCATAACCACGAAATTAAATATCCACGTACATGTAAGTTTTCCTTAATCCACGAAAATTGGTACCCACGAAAATAAGTGAATCCACAGTAACAAAAACAAAAGATTTTCTGGAACATAAGAATATCAAGAATAGCAGGAGAAAATTTTTAAATGCAGAAGAAAAGGAAATAGACATAAGTATAAAGGACAAAAATGTAATAACGCGTTGTTTATGAAATAATTGTTATAAGATGTCATGTACTGGTAACAACCTTGGTGTCAGCAGGCTCATGGTTGCATGTTTACTTAGTGTTGAGGAGTTCATGGGTTTGCTCACCAGACAGGTCATACCAAAGATTTGAAAATGGGTATTTGCTGCTTCTTTGCTAATTCAATTTCAAGGCATTTAGGAGTAAGAGTAGTATATTGTGACATATGTTCCTGCAGACTGTTACCTTGTGAACAAGCATGTTAAAAATCTGTCTCAGGTTGTCTGTCTATTACAAACAGTCAGGGGTACTACTTGTACAAGTAATCTTTATTTACTTGAAGAAGTAAAAAAAAATATACTTATATAAGTTAATTATAATGTTTGAATAATCTCCCCTTAATTTTCTCAAAAACTAATTGTATAAGTAAATTTTTTTTACAATCCCACAAAAATTCTCAAGTTTTGAGATGTAAAAACCATGCCTTTAATGGTTTTTTCCGTTTGAATGGTTTTACAATAGTAATTTTTTGGGGCCCTTTATAGCTTGCTGTTCGGTGTGAGCCAACACTCCGTGTTGAAGGCCATACCTTGACCTATAATGGTTTACTTTTATAAATTGTAACTTGGATGGAGAGTTGTCTCATTGGCACTCATACCACATCTTCCTATATCTCTTTAATGATTTTCCCAGGTTAGCTCATAATTTTTTATTAGAGTTCAATGTTTCATCTCATTAATTCAACAAAGAAACTGATTGCGCAAAGATCTTAAGTATTTGCGCAAGGCCTTCAAAATTGCTCCTTGGGGGCTTGTAAATGAGCAGTGTTCTGAAGATATCAGACAAATGAGATTTTCATTGTCCATGAAATTACACTTAAATAATTAGTTAAGACATCTGCAAAGGACAGACAATTTAAAATTCTATTAGAGCAAAGAAGTCCTAAGAATTCAAGAAAAGAAGATAGGATGACTTTTTCACTTATATAAGTAAAAAAATCTGAATGTCTAAGGGACATAACTAAGCCAATTTTTCTTTTACCTATACAAGTAAATAAAATACACTTGTATAAGTATCCTACAAATTTACTTATATAAGTATATTAATATTACTTCTTCAAGTAAATAAAAATTACTTGTACAAGTAGTACCCCTGACTGACAAAGCAAGACTTATATTCATATCAAATTTACATGTTCTTGCTCACTTGCCGAAAAGGTTCATATTGCGGCTTGAGGCTGATATTTTACAATATCTATTCACAGAAAACCGGATAATCTGTTTATTGGGCTATTTCTGGTCATTTCTCCTTCCCTTAGACCGTTACAAAAATAAACTTGATAGCATCTATTTAAACATTGTGACGTCACTGATTACTTTTCTTCACACTCTTCATACATTGTGACGTCGTTGATAAGTTCTGTTCACTTCTCAGAGCCATGAAATGATGATACGAGAATAATGTAGCGACTGAGATAAAGTGAAGCATGATAAACAAGTAATATTTGCCACTGCATATTAAACATCAATTCAACCATCTAAGATTGATGATTGATTGTTGGTTGCTTTACGCCACTTCAGCAAAAAAAGGATATATCGCGGCAATATATCTTTAAGATGAATTGTTGTAAGATTAATTATCAGATATAAACAGAGCAAGGGTCAAAAGTACCTGATATGCTTTGGCCGTTTCTGGGTCCACTAAACCTTGTTTAGGGAGGCCTCCAGGCTCTTCAGCAAAGGACTGTGATTGACTTTGTAAAGGCTGCTGTGAGTCTGGTAGTGTGTCCATTAATGATGGTTGTGATATACTTGCAAGGCTTGCATCTGCAAAAAGAAAATTATTTTCTTATCCCATTTCAAAATGTTCAAAGAAAAATTTGAATGAGTTTTAAATGACCACTTCTTCATATTCAAACTTGTATACAATATCATTCAAACTATTTGACATTATTTTTATCAGCAATTTGTATTAACAGTATGTTGATCAAAATATTAAATAAAATGAAATAGTAAGAAAAACTATTTATGTGTACATAGCATTGTGAAGTTATTCGGTTGTATGAATGAAGCCGCATGCATTTCATTGATCAATTGACGCGGATGGACATGAGCGTGTGACGTTGCTGCATTGATACATGATGTCATTGCCTAATATTTTAGTGTATCAAGTCCTGTCCATGATCAAGAAAAATAATAGGCAGTAAGATCTAAGGGAAAATAACCCACATAGTACATGTATCGTGTTTGGTTTTTTTTTAGAAAGTGTATATATATGAATCCAGCTTTATTCATGTTATTCATAAACACATAGATAACTTTTCCTAAATTGATCTAAGGGAGGCTTGTTAAGGTGACATATATGTTCAACAGCCATCATTTGCCAGGGAAAATACAAATGAGAAAGAACAAGAATGTGTCCATAGTACACTATCATTTTCTATGTTCAGTGGACCGTGAAATTGGGGTCAAAACTCTAATTTGGCATTAAAATTAGAAAGATCATATCATAGGGAACATGTGTACTAATTCAAGTTGATTGGACTTCTACTTCATCAAAAACTACCTTGACCAAAAACTTAAACCTGAAAAACTTTAACCTGAAGAGGGACAGACAGACGAACGAACAAATGAACGGACGAACAGACCGAAAAACATAATGCCCCTAGGTGGGTCATAAAAATCCCTAAATAGCTACTTTACATCATTATTACAACAATTCATAAACCATAAATAACCTGAGGAGCACTGTAGAAAAGATCAGGAATAGTCTAATTAGTATGATGCATTTGAAACTATTTGACCAACTGCCATTGACCAGAGTCATTCTCTATATCATGTATATATACTGCCAAAAACTGTTTGGGATTGAAATAACTGTGGACACTGTAGCCAGTTGAACTTTGCCAACCCTGGCCCAGTTCATGTAACACAAAAGTAATCTCCTAATGGAAGCTATAGATAGAGTCAATTATGTAATTTCCAATTAAAAACATGGCTAGAAATGTATATTAACATGATTAAGGAGGTTAACCAAAGAGCATGTCCCCCTCCCCACACAAATCAACAGGACTCAACATCTTTATCTTCTTCCTCTTGCTCTTGAATTTGTCTTTGAATTTTAAGTATCTCAGGTGAAGTGGTGAACAGACCTGTCAACGTATATTTGTTCCGCCTAACAGAAGTTCCTATGGAAACTTTGTTATAAACAATGTCACAATATCTGTTCCTGTTGGTACATACATTCTATACCATTTATTCCGTTAGGAACATTTACTGTAACATGTGTAATATTTATTCCAGTGGAAATAATATTCCAGAATATTGTTTCCATTTGGAACTTATATTATGAAGGAACTTCTATTCTGTGACAGACCTACCTGTTAAAACTGAATCGTTCACATTGTCCTCTGAATCTGATTCAATTTTGATTTCAGTAATATCTGACGTAGATGGTACCGATCCAACAGAATTTTCTCTATTGATAACATGGAGAGCCACTGGAACGGCTTCACTTTGGGGATTATATAAGTTCTGTTCTTGGTTAGTAGTAATAGTAAACTGTGAATGGGACTGATCTGCGACAGTATCACTAAAGCTAGTTGGTTGTATGTTAATATCACTAAAAGTAGACTGTCCAAAACTGTTTTGAGGCTCCGCTACACTAACTTGTGATGGTTGTCGGTGCCCCAGAGAATTACCAAATCCTTTAGGTTGTTCTAAAACACCAGACGGCAGAATATTATGGGATGTAAGTGATTCATTGTATTGGCTAGTCTGTGCAATTAATTTTTCCAGATTCTGAAAGTCTGATAAGTTTGTTGACGTTGAGAAAGCATTAGATGTAACGGGTGGTGCTCCAAGAGCATAGTTCCTGTTAGACTGAGCACTTCTTTGTGTAGACATTGAATAACTAGTTGAGAAAGTAGGTGTGGTTGTTGATGATGTAGATGTATATATAGCTGTTCCCATTGATAATGATTGTCTATTTTTAGGTTTGTGTAAGACACGAGGACTTGTTACTGGTGTGCTGGTCTTTTGAAATGATTTAGATCCTGAAATGAAACGTTTCTCTTGTGGCGACGGAGCGTCTATTTCTATGACTTCTGGCCGTGGCCGTTTTTCACTTTTTTGAAAATTTGATTCTTTTTCTCCCATGTGATAATCATGTGAAGAAAGTTGTCTATAACTTTGAACTTGAATATTTTCAGTTCTTCCTGATGTTTGATTATTATTTTTTCTCTGTGCTATTCCATCTGATAAATCAATAATTCCAACTTCTCCTCGAATACTTGTGTCATCTTGTAACTGTTGCTGAGAATTGTCAGAAGCATTTTTTGTAACAGTCCTATACTGTAGCTCAGATGGAGATGCATGAATATCAGAATAAAATTGTCTTTCCTCACGTCTTGGTTTATTACAATTTTGACATGGTGCTGGACTTGGGGTTATATCACCAGAAATATTGTCTTCTATCAACCACTTTGGTTTAGTCTTGATATTATGATCTGTAAAAACAAAACTAATTTCAAATATATTATCACACAGATACTTTATATATATATATGTTAATTCAAATATAAATCTTTCCTAATTGCATTTTTGTATAATATTGTCTCAATCAGGAAAATAATGCTGGTATCATATGAATACTGAAAGATAAATATTCACTTCTTTACAATGTGTGATACTTTTAATAGCCTATAGATGTAAAGTTAAGCATTCAAATAAATTATCTATCAAATATAAAATTCATAAAATATCAATGTCAATTGCAACATTAAAACTTACAAATAATAAACTTTTATTTTGATGACTAAATTGGCATGGGGTGCACATTATTATAAAGAGGAGATGAATTCTTAAGATGAGAACAATTAATACACTTGTACAATGTACAAATCCATCATACTTTGGTTACACTTTTCTATGGCATCGTTTGTTATTGCAATTTTAGTTGCATTGTGCCATGTCAGCCTTTGTTAGCATACTTTTGGTAGCATTGTGCCATGTCAGCCTTTGTTAGTGTACTTTTGGTTGCATTATGCCATGTCAGCCTTTGTTAGCATACTTTTGGTTGCATTGTGCCATGGCCGTCTTTGTTTATGTAATTTTGTATTACTGTCGATAAGAGCCTTTACTACATGTATTGTTATTTGTGGTGCACTGTGCCACGGCATCCTTTGTTATTGTTATTTTGGTTGCATTGTGTTATTGCAGCCTTTATTACTGTAATTTCTCTACCACTTTGCCACACCAACCATTATGAGTGTAATTTTGGTTGTTAATGTAATTTTAAGTGCACTGTGCCATGGCAGCCTTTGTTAGTGTAATTTTGGTTGTACTGTGCAACAGCATTCTTTGCTAGTGTAATTTTGGTTGCACTGTGCCATGCATGTCAGCCTTTGTTAGTGTAATTTTGGTTGCACTGTGCCATGGCATCCTTTGCTAATGTAATTTTGGCTGCACTGTGCCACAGCATTCTTAGCTAGTGTAATTTTGGTTGCACTGTGTGCCACATAATAAAGGTTATTTTGAATGTAATTTTACTGATGCAATGTAAGAAAGACAACTAAGGTAAACTTTCTTTGAAGTTTTTAAATCATTAACAATAAAACGCTTCAAAAATTTAACACCAACTGTAAGAGAATTGCAAAAGTGGCTGCAAAAATTCGTGATAATTTCACCTTAGATAAATCTAAAATGTACCTAAGACCATGTATCCTTTAATCTTGAACTCTGACAATTTGAGGTCCAGCCACATGACAAACTGAGTAAGGGTCCATGGTTGAGCCTCCTTTACCAGTACAGAAAAATCTTCCTTTATTTTACTTAGATCAATCATGATGGATACTGTTTACATATCAAACTGCTGAAAATAAATGTTACAACGAAAAATGTTAATTTCATCAAAAGTAACAACTCAAGTTATCATGATGTCTACTGCGCAATACTCAAGTGTTTGTATTCGTTCAATTCTTTGTTTGATGTTGCCTACCCATGCCTTCTAGGGTTGGATAGATAGGTAGAAATTTTTTTTTTTTTTGGTCAACAACATAAGTTTCATGTTTTGGACAAAAAAAAACAACGTTAGAACAAGAAAAAAACTTTTTTAAAAATTTGAAACGATTTGTGTCATTAAACATGTAAAAAATTTCCGGTAGGATGCATTTTACCGGTAGGTGGGTAGGTAGGCAACATCAAACAATTTTCATTTTATTTTTGGCCCTGTGCAATACTCAAGTGTTTGTAGTGTAACATACAGTTAATACAGGTAAGTTCTATCAATATGATTAATATTTATATAAAAATTTCAACAAGAATTGTGTCTTGTAGAGGCCTTAATTATGTATTGACATAAAATCTGAATTTGGTGAAAATCAATCATTATGAATGGAACTTTCTATATTACTGGGTTTTTCATAATTATAATGCCCAAATATCTATCACATCCAAAGAAGCTAGCAAATTAGTTAGAATGGACATGACGGATATATATTGTCTCATTGGCAGTCATACCACATCTTTTTTCTTTCTATTACATGATGGATATTAGTACATTTCACCTGGGTAACAAATTAGGCTGTGAAAAACAAAATAATTTACAGTCAGGTTGACCTACTTGGAAGGCCTGCTACGAATGATTCTGAGAACAGAAATAAGCATATCATACATCACTTTGTAGATAATTTAATGTGGATCAATTACGACATAACAAATTTCAGCAGGATAGACAAGGGCAGAATCCAAATATAACAAAAAGTTCACGACCACTGTCATTTTTCAAAAATGTGAGTTGGTACCTTCTGATATTTCTTATACAGTGGGAAATCCAGTAACAAAATATTACCTCCCCTGTAAGCACTGAAAACTTGATCTTTTCAATGTTTGTACTGTTTTAGCAAGGTTGCTATTAATTATAAATTGATGAGAAAACTTTCTGGTAAATAGTAAAAATAGTTTTTATAAAAACAAAATCTCCATTTAATAGAAAAACAAAGGATATGGGGTATCCATCCATGACACAAAATCAGTATATATATGCACAGCAAAAAAAAAAACACACAAAAAGCAAAGGAACAGTGCTTTTATTGCAGTTCTTCATCTCAAATCACAGTGAGGCCCTCAACATGCAGCACAAAAACTCTCACCTCACTGCAAGTTTAAGACAGCCCCTAGCACTGGCTTGAGCGGAATTCTTTGCAAAAAAAAAGGAAAATTTTAAATAGACTTTGTTTAATATCATTTCCCTCTTCAAATAGCAAACAATGAGCACAGCAGGCTATAGGAGCTTGGTAACATCATGTATCACAGTGCATGTATATCTCAAATACATTTTGTAACACAGTTTAACAAACAATTTCTTTAAAATGTACTATTGTTTTTTAGAAATACTTTTGATTAGTATCATTACCGCCATTGCTTTATTATTGATTTTCTTGACTTTTTCATAAGAAGAGTGAATTTTATATAGTTCTCAGTCACTAGATTTCCCACTGTATATTGGTATATCCTCGATGATTGGAAGTTCGTTACCCTAACTCGAAACGGAAGAAAAAAATCACAACCTTGGAGCAACTATTATCCACTGTGAATGTAAATATTCTTTATTTATTTGCAAACAGTCTGATACACTTTATTTATGAATAGCTTCAGAAACATGGTCAATCTGTCTATGTTTCGTATTGTGACCCGATTCCGATTCAATTTGCACTCAATACCATATGATTAAATTTATTTTACGAGGCAATATTCCATAGGTTTTTTTTTATCAAAATAAATCAAATCATTTTCTGATCTTAAAAAATCCGCTCACATACAAACTTTGAAAAATAATACCCTTGGCCTTAAAAAAAGAAAAAGAGCGCCACATAACCTAAAAATAGATGATGACTCATTGTTGAGATGTCCAAAACATTGCTGAAAGGATTTTCCCAAGAATTTAACGAAATTCTAGGATAGGAGCAAAACAGTCATAGTGGAAATAGACGTTTAAACAAATAATATGCAAGAACATACACAACTTCTCTTTTTCAAGCCGATATTAGTAAAAATGCAATGCAAAATATACGGTTAATTTTTTTTGAAGTAGCACGTTGCCGATGATAAATACTTATGCATGACGTCACAAATAAAGTGGAAATCCCCAAATGTCACGAACTTGCAAGCATAGCGAACTTGCAATCATCGACAATATAGGTATTTTTTCAGAGGCAGGTTCCTGTGACTATGTGTGCACTGTGTGTAGATTTATAAAGGGGAGCTAATCAACCAAATTAAGTTACAAGTTACAATAAGAAAACATTGTGAAATGCAGTCCCGCAATAGCTTGGAGATCGCGAAGATTCCCGGTTAACAAAATAACCTTTGTTTTTTTCAACTTTACTTATCTCCCCTTGAGAAATCTGGCAGAATGAAATTATTTGCCATGTTGTCAGTGCCTTCAAATATTTTGCTTTATATATAATCATGGATAGCAATTTAACTGAAATGAGGTCATGGTGTTAATGTTGTCGTTATTGTCTTTATACGTGAATACATACTTCGTTCATAGATGAAGGGTTTAACGCCTTATTAGGTATGCATAACTGGTTCCCTATTAGTTTGGGGCGGTAACGGGTTGTTTCGCCCCCTATCGTTCGCTCTATGTAAAATTCGCCCCAAAAGTGAATCGTTTCGCCCAGCTTGTATCAAATAAAGGTGAATTAGATTTTTTACAATAGCTTCAAAATTGCTTAAATTTAAGGGTTTTTGTTTGGAGCCATGTCTGGGTTAACTTGCCAGGGGCAAGACGTTTCTGCAACATAACTGGCCATCATGCAGTATAGTGGTTTAATTCGTTCGGCGCAATCGTTTAGACCATACTACCAGACTGAGTTCGGCCTTCATTGGTAAAGTCGTTTCGGTTGTGTGTTTTTTTTTTTAAATTCTATAGATATATGTGTTACTATTTCGAAGGTTTATATAAGTATGTTCGTAAAAAGGGGGTTAATTATTTTCAAAAATTAATTACCACTGAAAAAGGATAATATTTTACAGTGTCTGACCAAGCAACCTGAGATGACTGCAACAGTGCTATACCACAGGAATAGATTACCTTACTTGGCCAAATCTTTTAGAATTTTGGGTCCTCAATCCTCTTCAACTTCGTACTTCATTTGGCTCATTTGAACTGTTTTGATTCGAGCGTCACTGATGATCGAATCTTTTGTAGACGAAACTCGCATCTGTTAAACTTAAAGTAAAATCAAAATTACGTCGAGATGCAGGAAAGGATGAGAAAATTTAAAGAACAGAAAGCGATGTCAGTTTTCCCTTGCACGGAACTTAATAAAGTTAAACTCATTGACTTTTTTCCGAGCTTAAACTATTATAAGGAATTCCTAGATAACTAGAGACTCAGGCATGACCGAGTGCATTCAGAAAGAGTTTAAAATCAAAAGCGTTTATTACGAAAAAAAGTTTAACGAACTGTCTCAAAATCATACCAGTGTAATTATAGAGCATGACGAGTTAAAGAAACAACGTCCAAAAGAGACAACAGATACCAAGGCACTTCCACAGCGCGTGTCTGACCTGGAAGTAGTACAGTTCTAAGATGTATGACCAGAGATGTGACGTAATTTACCAGCAATTCATCATGTTGTTCATATTGGAAGGCGAAAAGGCACATATGGAAAATAAAATCAATAAGCTACGAGACTTCGGGAAAAAATAAAAGAACATTATTATTCCAACATGCAGTAACTATCGTTACAGGGGACACAACAATTACCACAAAAACTTTCGGAACAATTTTAGATAAAAAAAGTAAGACACGGCAGGTGTCTTCGTGAGCCTCGGGAATATATGACAGAACTATGCACTGACTGTGCAATGTGAAATTTGTTTTTAAACAGCATTTTATCAATTCTATTGGTTTACTGTGTTTTAATATTTTACAGATATTTCATATCATATTTTATCATTCTGGACTTTGTCGTAAATCAGTTTAGACATAAGCGTTTTACACAAATTCATAATCTTTGACAAAGGATTGCATTTCATTTAGTCTATTCATTTAATTATATAGCGATCGTACGCGTATGATTGTTTTATTGGCGCAAATGAAACCTATAGTTTTTAAAATGAAGTGGCGCAGAATCAGCATTGGAGCAAATGAAACCTATAGTTTTTAGAATGAAGCGGCGCAGAATTAACATTAGCGCAAATGGATTCATTTTTGGCTAAAATAGATGTCGGCCAATTTATCTTCTAAATCCATTAATTGCTTGTGCTTATTTGTATTGTTATTGTTGATATGTTACATTACATCACTTTTTTGGTCTTTTGGAAAATGTTGTTTGTGCTGTATTTAGACCCCTCTAACAAGAAATTTGTTTTGCATGCACACGTATAAAAATTGCGGTTTTTATCCAACACAATCATAGGTTTGAATGTTGTTTTCAATTTAGACTTGTTTATATTTTTTCGTTTGGGCTTGTATTATATTTGCCTTCGGGTTTATATGATCCGTTCATCCTAGTTTGACTCCTCAAAATTCAAGAGTCTATCCTAAATTGAGATAAATTGTATGGCTTTCCAAATACCGTTTCGATTCCTAACATCACTGAAGAGGCATTAATTGTCGAAATCCGGATATGGTGTACAAAAACCTTTGCACCTTTTGTTTGCGGTATACCATCTTTTCCGCAAGTTTATTGTTTCTGTTTAGAATTAAATTTATAATTAAGATCCATTAATTACATCGGTGATCCGTTTATTTGGCAATTGCCAATGGCAGTCAGCAGGGTTTAAGAACATTTGTTGTTCGACCTGTTAGTCAAATGCGTTTTGTTAAACTATACTTTTTCACTTTTTTGGTCTTTTGGAAAATGTTGTTTTTAATTTTTTCTCAAGCGCTGGTTGAGAAATTCAAAGAAAATAAGATGCAGGTAAATCCTGATAAATTTCAGATTATTGCTTTTGGGAGAAAAAAAAACCATTGCAAAAAATTCAATATGTAAAAAAACCGTCAAGTTACATGGAATTGATATTGATTACCAACTTTAATTTTATGCAAATACAAGTATAACTTCTGTAGACAAGCATCACAACAGCTGAATCTTTTCAAGAGAATCGGATCCTATCTAACCAGATTAAACAAAACTACAATTTTACATACCTTCATAAGTTTTTATTAGAAGTGATTTTTATTTTTTGCCCTTTGGGTGGCTTTTTTTACACAAAAAAAAAAACAGTGAAGAATACAAGAAAGTGCATTTTCGTCCTCATCAGGACAATGGCACTTTTGACTTACAAAATATTGATTAATTTGGTTCCTTTATGTTTACAAAATTTCCTTCATATTAATCACACAAAATATTCTTTTAGATACAGTAACTAGGCATCTTGAAAGAAAATACATGTACCACCGATTAGAACTATCGCATATGGTAAGAATTCTCTTAGCTTTGCTGCTTCTTTAATGGAATAGTTTACAATAAAATTGAGAATGGAAAAGGGGAATGTCTCAGCCCAAGTCCACCAATGGGTCTTCAACACAGCAAGAAAATCCCGCACCCGGAGGCGGGCTTCAGCTGGCCCCTAAACAAAAATGTGTACTAGTCAGTCAGCGCAGCGAAAATGGACGTCACACTAAACTCCGAAACATACAAATGAACCAAAATTTAAAAAAACACACAAGACTACCCCCCCCCCCCCCCCCCCTTATACCTCTAGCCAATGTAGAATAAACAAACACAGCAATACGCACAGTAAAACTCAGTTTAAAAAGAAGTCCGAGTTCGATGTCAGAATAGGTAACAGAAGAAACTAAGCAAAATGACAATGATACATAAATCAACAAAGGACTACTAGCAGTTACTGACATGCCAGCTCCAGACCTCGATTAAACTGATTGAAAGATTATGTCTTCATCTTAACCACTTTACAAGACCACTTTATTTATTTTTATTTTAAAAGTCTGATTCAGTCCTGGGGTGGTTCTGACTGCTTTTGCTCTGCCTGCAGGTAATTTTGATACATGTTCATGCATTTCATGCATGCTTCATATAAAGTTTGCATGTAATTTTTTTTTCTTATTTTTTAGTAATTACAAAAAAATACTGTTCAAGTTACTTTATATCATCTACTGGCCAGATTTTAGTTGTAAATTTTTATAAATATCTATCTTAGTGCCTCATGTATGCTTTCAGTGTTAAAAGTTGCCGTGGTTCTGTTTTTATAACTATTCATTTACATGCTGCATGCTTTGTTTTATTTGTTATTGTATATGTTTTATATTCGATGAAAAGCTCATGAGAGCTTATGTTTCAATTATTTGTCAATATGTCGAATCAAGATAATGTTTTATTTACTTACTTACCTACTTCAAGTATAATGAAATTTATCGACCTGAAATTATTCTTACTAAATCATGAGACACCTATATATAATAGTAATCTCAGCAACATCGACGTAATTTTTTAGACCTTGATATATATTAGAATCACTGTTCCCCTGACAATCATCATACTAATGAATTTGATAAACAGGCGTGACGATTTTTCAACTTTGATAGTCCATTTTTTATATTCAATATATACTTTCCTGGAGTAGGGGCAATTATAATTTGACACATACTAAAGACACCTATCAATTGATGAAGCCGGACCGTGTGTTCACCTCTACGTGTCGTTTGCCCTTGGTGTGTGTGTTGTTGGGTTGCTGTCAAATTATTCATATCTATTCATAATTTAAATATCTTTATAAAACTGTTCTGTGTCACCAGTAGACTGAAAATTTACCACTGTTCCAGCCGAGGTTCGAAACCGCTTCTTCTGGTACATTAAGTTTCAACTGAGCTACAAGGGGTACTCCCCTAGCACAGCTATTTTGATCTATTTTAACCGTGAAATGAAGCTAGGGCGGTAATACATATATCGTCTAAGTCAAAGGAAGCACCGTTGCAGCTAAATAGCAGAGACTTTTTTTTCTAATGTAAATAACCATATAAATTTATTATCATTATTTACCTACTTTTTAAGATTTCAAATTTAAAGTTATTCTCATTGACTCATTGACTTGTGGCGCAGTATGTTAATGACTTGTCCAGAATTAGGTCGTCTTAGTGGGACGAGTTCACGTAATATCTGACAGGGAAACAGTTCACCCCTGATTGTAGCGACATCTAGAAAAAGGAAGCTGTACAAGTGTTTATCGCGTTCTTACAGACTGATAACAAGTCTGAATTACGTTATTATTTTAGGTAATGTCTTATTCTATCCATGCAATAATTGAATAGTCAAAGAATATGCTGGACAGGAAATTGCATACATTTATGCACAAGGAGACAAAGGCTTTTCACTCATGCGTTACGTTATCGTGTAGTTGTCTCCCTTCCCCTGACAAAACACAGCCGCTTTGTTTTGGATCTTTTATAAGGTTCATCATAAAGTTTTGACAAATATTGATGTGTTTACACCACAAATTCTCTCTGAGTTACATACAAACTTGTGCACCTGGAAAAATTACAAGGCATGACACGACCTAGATTATAGATACATAAATGTTTAAAAAAAAGAAGCTTATAGAGTCTGTAGAAGAGGGTATAATAAATAAACACCTCAACTTTATCATGGTACAGTCGATTCCAGTTATTTGCATAGCCTATTTGTCATACAAAATTATGCAATTAAGCGGAGTATGCTTTACATACATAGTATCCGAAATGCTAAATAACATAGTCAAATAACATCACAGTAAACATGTAAAGGAAAATCCCTGAAGAAAGACGAAGAGACGTGATCCACTTGCAAAGTATTGAATGATGATTTGTTCTAATAAAAGTTGTATGTCTGATGTTAGATATGTTATTGTCTTTTGATTCTTTCATTTTAGTTTATGAACACATTTCATTTTGCATTTTGTTTTAGTTTTTTTGCGTTCCGACGTTTCCTTTATCTGGGATACAAAATATAATAATCAGAAGAAAATGCTCTTTTCAACAATTATAGAAGATAAATGTTTGACATATATAAATCTTCAACCATATATTAATTCCCTGTAATGTTTAACCGGAAAACAATTCACCCCAAACTGAAATACGAGTGTGCACATACACATGATACATTTGTAGAATGGTCATTGATAGCTAATTGGCAGGAGTCATTGTTTTTATTTTAATTCATTCGGAATGTATTGTACGGATAATGTTTGAAGTCCAATCCATAATTAACACCTTTTGAGAGAGAATGGTCGTGTTTTTACAACAATTATCTGTTTGACATTTTTAAGACCTTGAGGCTTAAAATAGAACAAGGGAAACAAATTTACCTGTACACAGTGAGAGTTATTAATCAATAATCACAAAAGAAACTGTTTTAAAACTTTATTTAAACAACATAAAAGTGAATATGAAATAATAACGAAAAATAAAAATGCATTCAAGAAAAATATACTTATTAAATTGCCTTTTCCGGTTAAAAATCTTGTCAGTTTTAACTAAGCATATCTAGCTGTCGATTATTTTCTATGCAATTAACCGAAAGGCCACTTGTTAGGCTATACAGATAACCGAATAATTTAACATTAGATGAATGGAAAATGATTTTTTGCAGGAGAAAATTATGCAATGAACTGAATTATGCAATTAATTACTGTAATCACTGGCCAGTCAACACTGAGGTTGTGAGTTTGAAACCCACTCGTGTAGGTGCACTTGGCTCCAATCTTAATTAAATAGGATTGTTAGAGAAATCCACAACCTTCGGTAGGAAAACTAAGGCACCCCAGCTTCCTCCACCAATAAAAAACTGACCGCCACCAAATAGCACAATAGTGTTGAAAGTGGCATTAAACACCAATCAATCAATCAATATTTTACTTTCAATGTTTGAATAATCTCCCCTTAATCTTCTCCAAAAATTTACTTATACAAGTAATTTTTTTTTACAACCCCTTAAATTCTCTAGTTTTGGGAGGTCAAATCTTGCCTTAACAAAATTTTTATTGTTTGCTAATTATTTATTAACTAGAGTTAAACCTTTAATCTCAAAAACTAAACAAAGATATCTATTGCACAAAGATGTTTTAACGCAACTGCACAAGGCCTTCAAAAATTGCTCCCTGGCGAGCTTGTGAATGAGCAGTATTTTGAAGATAACAGACAAATGAGATTTTTGTTGTCCATGAAATTCTACTTTTATGAATAGTAATTATATATATAAGAACAGCTGTTAATGACAGAAAATTAAACACTCTATAAGATCACTGTCGTCAAGAGAAATTCAAGAAAAGAAGAAAATATAAGACTTTTTTACTTATATAAGCAAAAAAATCTTATAAGATCATTGTTTCAAGAAAAGAAGAAAATAAAACACTGTTTTACTTATATAAGTAAAAAGATTTGAATGTCTTAGGGATAAAACTCTACTGTTTTACCTCTGTCTGTCCGTCCGTCCATCTGTCCTTCCGTCTGTCCCATGAATATTTTTCATCGCATCTTTCTCAGGAACTACATAATAAGGATTTCTGAAATTTGGTTTCAGGGTTTATATAAGTCAGCTATACCGTGTGATGCCTTTTCAGATTCATCACTCAACAACTTCCTGTTTACTGAACACTTACATATTTTTACACTATTAAAATTATCCAGTTGCAGCGGGGGTATCATCAGTGAGCAGTAGCTCGCAGATTCACTTGTTTTGGCTGTAATACAAATATTTTCATTAAAATTTCTTGATCATCATGATCATATGATCTTGTGTTACCTGTTACATACCTACCCAATCTTACAATGGTCTCTGTTAGAAGTCGCTATCACATGAACTTGCTTCCTGACATCAAGGGGTTTTCTGTTGTTGAAAATTTGTACATCACCATATTTCAATTGTTTAAATTGAAAGACTCTATGTTTGGATGAAATAGATTAATTTCAAAAACAAGTCTAAACAGTAACTGAAACAAGTTTTAAGAAAAATTGCAGTTTTCAATTGCATCCATGTCTTATAATATATAACAATAGAATTAATGTAAATATAAAAATAAGGAGATGTGGTACAATTGCCAATGAGACAACTATCCACCAATGTTCAAATAAAGTGGATGTAAGCAATTGTAAGCAACCGTATGGCCTTCAACAATGAGAAAACCCATACCGTATAGTCGGCTATTAAAGGCCCTGACATGAAAAATATGAAACAATTTAATTAATAACAAAACAATTTATGAAAATCAAATATGACAAACATGAACCAACGACAATCACTGAACTACAGGCTCCTGACTTGGGACAGGCACATACAGAATGTGGCGGGGTTAAACATGTTTGTGAGCACTCAACCCTCGCCCTAACCTGGGACAGTGGTGTTACAACACAACATACATGACATAAGGACAAACTATAAAAATCAGTTGAAAATGACTTAACTCATCAGATCAATACAAAGCAGAAAGGTATTTATACATCTCTAACAACAAGAAAGACACAAAAGTACAGATCTGTGAGTACTCACAGTTACTGACAGCTAGTTCAAAGCAAATAACTAATAAAAAAAATCATGTATCTAAGATTAAAATACCAATCAGTACACATCCAACGTCCAATGGATTAAGTGTAAAGATGTCATTAACAGGCAGAGAAAAACATGACCTTGTGCAATGCCAAAATATATAGGTATCGACAGATTGTAGTACCGTGAAAGTGCATATGTGTATAACATTATTTTTTTTAGATACTACATTTACTACTTTTCAAAAACAAGTCTTAAACTTTAGTTGAAAAAAGTTGTTTAAAAATCCCTGTTTTCAGTTGCATCCTTGTCTTATAATATAACAATAGTATTAATATAAGATCATTTTTTTTTATAGATACAAGTACAGACATAAATAACAGAAATGATTGATTTATGTAAGATTAAGGAGGATTTTTCTGGACTAGTGAAGGAGGCTCAACCATGGACCCTTACTCAGTTTGTCATGTGGCTGGATCTCAAATTGTCAGAGTTTAAGATTAAAGGATACATGGTCTTAGGTATGTTGTTTGCTCTGAAGGAAGGACATGAAGGAGGAAGTTGGTAAATTCTTTTCTGTTAAATATTTTTCATGACCTTCACTGGTGTGCTAGTGAGACCCTAAGAATGGATTACAGGTATTTAGAAATATAATACCATAGCTTTTTAAAGGAATTTCAGGTTATTATATTTAAGTTCTGTTAGATGACTGAAAAACTTACATAAATGTCAACCATGTCAACCCTTTTAGTTAAATGTAAAGTCTAATGAGACATTTCCTCATGTTCATTAAGATAAATGGTTGATTAAGCAGGAGCAGAAGATCAGTTGAAAGCATCGTCACTTTTCACTGGGAAATGATTCAGATCTGGGTTCTGGGAAGGAAACTATCAGGAGCCCAGTAGCTCATGGCTCCAAAAATTTGAGCTTGGCTACTAATTTTTGGTACATTTTTACTTGATCATTTAACACTGGGCCACCGAAAATATTGCTTGGGCCACAATTTTGAGAGTTTTCATTCCTGTCATGCCTGTGCATTATGAAATAGCAAGTTAAAAAAGGTAAGATCTTCTCCTTTTACATGGTAGTTTTATGATTTTAAAATCACAGGTTACTGATATAGTGTTATCTCCAAAAAATCTCAATTGCATCCTGGTATTATATAAAACAGGGAATTTTGAAATACAAATACACCATCTTGATACTAGAAATTATAGCATCACATGTACATCTATTGCACAATTTACAAGCTTACTGGAGAATCTTTTCTGAGACTATGAGATATCTAAGCATCACATTTAAAAATATAACACCAAAAAGCCTTTATCCAGTAAGGTTATTTTATTTTTACAGAAAAATCTTGAAATGTAAAACTCAAAAGTACCATGAAGATATAGATGTGATCAAATTGGCTTTTGCATCACAACTACCTGACTACAAATGTGGTGGTAAAATCAACAATGAAAAATGTACGGGTAAAAATTATGCAATCAGAAAATGTTGTGCTAAATATTGACAAGATTATGCTTGAAATACACAAAAATATGCACTGCATTTAATAAGCCAAAATATGGAGTTAAAATTTAACTCCCAGTAAAACACAGAAAAGTTATGTTCCTAGTAAGGAAATTAAGAAACTAATGAACAAGTAAATATATCATATATATATACATGTATCACCATGTCAGGTATTGATTACAATTGAGTAAATTGTATTGTATTATTCTTGATTTAATTTTGTACATAGATCATCATACAAAGACTAAACCTAAGTGGATAGAAGAAGAAGACTCAACGAGTGATGTAGCACCTATCCCAGCACCTTGTAGAACGTGTAATAAGCATTCTAATGATGGACATTTTTATTCCGACATCCACGCTTCTCCAACAGGCCACAGAAATGTCACAAGGGAAATGAAAAATGTACAGCCAATGGAAGAATCAGAAAGCGTGAGAGGTGAAGTTGGCATCATTGATTTGTCACATGCGGAAATAAATAGAAAGCAAAACTCAGCAAGGATGTTACGACCACCGGATGTTGATATGTCACATAAAAAAAGTTATCAAAACACCTCTTATCACGAAAAATCGCCAAATATTCTGGTCGAGAGAGACAAAAATAGACAAGATGATGTTATAGAAATAGATGTGCCATCACCTACTGAAAAAATGTTTATTACATCAAATATCAATAAAACAAGTACTCCCGTTGTACATGCAAACATTCGTCCAGTTCAAAAACCTAAAAATAGACCATCATTATCGATGGGTACAGCAATATATACAACCACCTCATCTGTCACTACTCCAACATTCTCATCAAGTTATATGTCATCACCATCAAGAAATATTCCACCGACTTTCACCAACAGAAAATTTGCTTTAGGTGCACCACCGCCACCATTAGTTGCACCCTCAAACCTGGCAAATTTGGATGAAATGATTGCACAAGCAGTACAGTTCAATGAAATACGGACAGATATCTCTGGGTCTCAGTCTCAGACAAGGCAATCATCAGGTCAGTCGGATGTTCGTCCTCCTCCGATGCAGCAGCAGCAGCCTCCTAAAATCCAAGAAAGTGATCATTCTAGTAGTTTTAGTGAGCAACATTCACGTCAGACTATGAGTGAGCAACATTCACGTCAGACTATTAGTGAGCAACATTCACGTCAGTCAAACATAAGTGAACAAAAATTACCTTATTCACAACAAACTTCTACTTCAAGTTCAGCCGTACCGATAGCATTACATGCAAACATTGACAATATAAACATATCTCAGAACTCAGCACATTCATCATCAGATACTATGGAAATCAAAATAGAAACAGAAGTGGATGATAGTGTTGCAGACTCTTTCTTCGTAGGTAAGATCAAAGTCTATCTCAATCAAAAATTAATCTGTCCTAAACCAAGACAGTATTAAAGAGTATCTGTAAGATATAAAATGTATGTTGTATTTGAAGTTGGATAAGTCTAGCCAATGTACCGTAGTTCAAGGCAATTTTCATGATAGCTAAATGTCTGCCATTACCATGATTACTGGATATCACAATTATTTACATAAAATTTTGATGTTACACTAAAGAATTTCAAGTGCTTTAGATATGATTAAGCAAAAACGATTGTTGCTTTTTATTAAATAGAATAGTTCAATCTGCAAATTTGCATTGGAATATTTAAGATAAAACCCTTGAACTTCACTTTAGAGATTGTCAGTGAAAATTAAACACATCAGGAAATATGTATATTTTCTGAAAATTTTCTGTACATGCTGAAAGCTAATAAAAAATGAAGGCTGTATTTTAACACTGTCAGCAATGAATAGAATTTCACATGCTTTAGACTAGTATTGCACATGGATTCCATTAACTTTATTCTTGTTAAGGAAGTCAAAAATTTAATGCAAATGTGTACTTTAGGAAAAATCTATGTCTCAAAACTATAATAACAAGGACCTTATCAAACACATGGAAGGAGTACCCAAATTATCCACTGTACCCAAATCGTTCAGTCAACTATAAGAGCAAAATAACTTATAAAAGCTGATATATATAAGTTTGCATATCAATCATATATAATATCTTTTAGCGTTCTACTGAAATTTTAAGCAATGTACATTTTTGTTTTCAAAAAGAAAAGTATACACTTTATTCAGTAAAATTTAGTAAAATTTGTATGTTTAAGTACATGTCATATTCATATTTTATTTATGATTCATTACCATGTGCATGATGTACATAAAAAAAAGGATGATTTGGGTACTTCTTAAGTTTAAAGTAAATACTATCTATCATGTCTATCATGAAAAAAAAAAAGAAAATACAATTTTAAATCACCAATGTTATTTCGATATTAAAAGAAGGAATCGTGTCGTGGCTGATTTGGGTACTCGGCTGTCCAACATTCCCACTGGAGAATTTATCTTATAAAGAACGTTGAAGAACCTGGTGGTCAACCACACAGATAGTGAAAAGTTAGGTATATACTTATTTAAGTTTAGTAAGTTTTTAACTATGGAACAGTCAAGCTGATTCCCTGTGAACTTGAGAATGGGCTAACAATAAAGTTACTTACATTATTGACCGACTTGGCAATTGTACAACATGTATAATATAAGTTTACACATGTTACAGGGTAATCAGCTTGGCAGTTCCATATTTGGGGTGGGTTTTCAGCATGATGTGAAAGGAGCACTTAATTTTGGAAAACTTCCAGCTACTGTAGTTTCTCCATTAATGGTATTAAATGCATTTCATGTTGTTCCTTTTGTTTTATCTTGTTTATTGTTTAAAAAATCTGCAGTACGAAACATAAATATTTAAAAGATATGATAAACATTTCAAAGATGTTAATTTGACATTAATACAAGTTTATTAACTCGTTATACACATCTCAAGTCTCGCTACATTGACAACAACACTTAAGTAAACTACATCTTTTATTGTCGACATGTTTCGCCTGATGACGCCGATCTAATCGGCAAAACATGTCGACAATAAAAGATGTAGTTTACTTAAGTGTTGTTGTCAATGTAGCGGTATTTGAATTTTAAACTGACAACCCTGCATACCATCTGGTATCCACTTAAGGGAACTCTACCAGCACAAAACATAGGAGGCGTTGGTTCAGCAGCTCTTTATTTCTTTATTTACATCTCAAGTCTGTAATCCATGTACATAGCTATAGGTAACAGATCTAAATCAACAATTTTCCCTCTGTTCAAGCTTTCGGGTGTCAAATTTAAAATGCAATTTAACGTACAGAATAATTGTAGTGTAGTGGTTATTGAATTAAATTGAATTGTTAACATTTATCTTGTGTAGGGGATAATTCACGAGATACAAGACCTTTAGGGATGGACACAGTTTCTGACATATCGATACAATCTCATGATTCTAGTCTACAAAGATCACATGATACAGTGCAACAACAAAGATCACATGACTTGCCAGTAACATCAGGTGACCTTCCTAGGCAAGGACTGGTTGACCCAGAAACAGCAAAAGCATTCCAGGTAATTGTAAAATACAGCTGCATACGGCAGTTGGTAGAAAAATTTTATTCAGAGGTAAAGATGTAGAAAAAAAGTTTTCCATGTTGATAAAAAAAGGCAGCAAAACAGAAGGAAGGATTACCAAGTCAAAATTTGGGAGACTACTTTGGTTTAAATTGATATAAATAGTTCAGGAGAAAAAGATTTTGACACCAGACAAATTAAATGATGAACAATATAAGCCTAGCGATTACTTAAGCTTGCTTTGTCATGTTCATGATGTTGGTCAGCTAAATAAGACAACTGGATATGAAATTGACTTAAACAGAAAGACAATCTCACTGAAATATTAGTACTCAATATAGTGAACGTACTACAATTTGAATCATAGAACATTTTTGCATGAGTCTTTGTTATAAATTCTGAATTGTTTACCTTTAATGAACTACTTATCAGTGAAAATTGAAATAGTGCATTATCATGTTTTTTTCTCTGGCATACAATCTGGAGTAAAATTCAGATATTGATTATAAGCACAAATCTTAATATCAACCAAACTTCAAACAAGCCAGGTATTACCTGTACATTAAAATACAAAAAAGCTAGATATTACATTAAAACACAAAAATCTAGGTATTACATTAAAAGACAAAAGCAAGTTTTACATTAAAGATCGAAAAGCTAGTTTACATTAAAGCACAAAAACCTAGATGTTACATTAATACACAAAAAGCTAGGTTTTACATTAAAACACAAACAAGCTAGGTATTACATTACAACACAAAAAGCTAGGTATTACATTACAACACAAAAAGCTAGGTACAATGTATTAAATGTATTGCATAAAAACACAAAAAAACTAGGTTTTACATTAAAACACAAACACATGACAAAAGTGTGTGTACATTGCAGATGGTTGAACTTGTAAATGGGAGTGGTGTTTATGTTTATGAAAGAACAATACAACAAGCATTTAAAATTGGAACTGAGAGTCAGACAGGGACATACAATGGAGAAAAAATGGCTCGATATCTTTTAAATGTGTTCTGGTCAAGGAAAGAATTGGTTGGTGCTACATTGTCTAAAGCTGGACGAGGGAAGAAAATTTTAAACCAACAGATTATAGAGGCCATTTTAGGTAATAACATAGAGATTAGGATGTATGTATAATAGTGCATGTTGGGTAAACATTGTTGAGACAACAATCAAACAGCATAAATAAACAAGATATGTTATCAACAAGAATACAGCCTTAGGTCAAAAGTGTTTCACCACTCAGAAATTTGCCGATATATTTCATATAAAAGCACATTTTTTAAAACATTGTCAAAAATTATTTGAGATCCAATTTTGATGAAATTTTTACTGTTAAAATCCTTTTGCTCATGGACTATTCACTACTGACCAGAGCTAGAATTCAATTTTCAGTACAGATTGTTGGAAACAAGGCTTTTAAATTAAGCCTTATCAGATAGAAAATCTTAGCAATGAGTCCTTCCAATTCTAAGCATAAAAATTCTGTCCAAATTGATGGACCAGGAGGTATAGCCACACAATCACAGTAATTGGCTTTCACTCTAGAAACTACAAACATTATGCTAATATAAAAATATAAAGTTGAATATAACCCAAGGAGAAAAATCATGCTTGATATTAAAAAGACAAGTGGAAAACATGATTCTGCATTGGAGCACAGTTCATTGTTCGTTCGGATGGTCTGATATCTTGAAGATCAAGATTATGGACTGTCAGTGCATCATCTGTAAGAATTATCAAGTGCTGAAAAGGTTAAAATCTGAAGACCTTCAAAAAATATTAATGTCTGAATATAGTTGAAATTACATAAAATAACTGTCTTGTTTGTTTGTTTGTGTGTTTGTTTCAGGAAGCATATTTGAGACCAAGCAGTTGTCATTTAATATGTTCTTTAGAATAATACTTTTTTTCAGATGCCAACCAGATTAGTAAATCAAGAGCTATTTATAAATACAGAATATAATTTTTTACTTTATCTAATCAATTGCAGATTTTTGTGAATTAAAAAGCAGGCATAGGAGATCTGTCTGTAAAACTGCTATTGATCGAAGTTTGTCATCCAGACTTTGTAAAGAAAAGAAGAAAATAGAAATGTTATACATGAAATATACATCTGGTTCTACTCAAGACAACAAGAAATTTTAAGGTGCTCTATCAAAGCCAATTTTTCATATTTTATATTGAAGTCATATTTAAACAGGGGTTTATATAATTGGCAGAGGCATGTACCATAAACTTTTTCAAAAACTGCAGTCTTTAATATCTCTGGTGATAACAATTCTCTTATAAAATTGATTTTTATGACAATTTTTATTCAGGATAAAATTCCTTTTTTATACACAAATTATGAAATCTCTTTTACACCATTTTAAGCTCACTTTGTCCAAAGAGCCATTTGAACTATATCCAGCACTGGCGATCCAGGCTCACAAAGGAAAACTTGAATTGTTTCTGTGTCAAAAGTCAAGGTCACAGCAGTTATAATTTTTGGCAAAATATTGGTTTTCAGATGTTATCTTTTGAACCACATGTTTAACTTTTACCAAATTTAGTATGCTAATGCCCTATAGCTACGGGATGAGGAAAATTCCTAAAAAATTTGGGTTGAAGGTCAAAGTTACAATTGAGATTTTGGTTTTCAGATGATATCTTTTGAACCATATGTCCAACTTTTACCAAACTTGTTTCCATAATGCCCTGATTAGTGAGAAAGACTCTTAAGATAATGTTGGGCTTGACTTTAGACAAATTATCTTTTTACCATTGCTCCAAATTTATCCAACATAGTTAATCAATGCCTCTTGGGATAGAGAAGATCCCATTTGATTTTGGGAT